CGTGGCACTTCAAAGGCTTGCTCTTCAGTTTTTTTTTTTTTTTTTTTCAATAAGAAAAAGTTTATTACCAATGGGGACACAAACATTTAACGCCGATGCTTTCAATCTTAAATGTTGCATCCATCCTCATGAAAAAACTGCAAACATAGCAAAGATCAGACACACTTAAACTTCTAGAATTGATCCTATGAGAGATTAAAAAGGTCCTTAAAGCCTGTGATTTAAGTCTTGATGAAGGACTTGAGTTAAGTTTTATTGAGAATTGGGATTATATAGTCTAACATTTGGCGAATATGGTAGCTACAAATGTGATCAATTACGGGGAACAAATTCCTATCAAGATATATGACATGGACACCAATACGGAGCATAACGTATCTTTGAGAAAGGAAATAAACTCGAATAAATTCTATATTCAAGGACGTTGGTTCTCCGAACTTGTGTCAAGACGAATCTTAAGAGAAGGCACAATGATTGGCATTTATTGGGATAACAAGTCATCGACTCTTCGTTTCTCCATTTTGGACAGTAACTAGGTTCAAATATGTAAATTTTAACTCTTCTTTGAAATTAATATAATCTATAATTATGCTAAACAGCAACCATATTAGCCTTTAGCTATCCATTGATTTTAGCTATTAAGGATAAATTCACCACCATTTTAATGTGTTTTTTATTTTTAGGAATCAATAACTCCGGAAGCTTTTAATCGATATATATTAAGCAAAATGACATGTTAATTAGGTTTTGTAGTGGTTCAATGCTAACTTCGTATGGACTTAAAAACGTTCATGAAGCCAATCACTTACTTTTGCTAATAAATTGGTGACTCTAGTGCCATGATGGTTTCCCTTGTACCCCTTTCACGGCCCCTGATTTTTGAGTCATATTTTCTGGATTACTTGTCCCCTCCTCTTCATCTTGCATAAAATTAATACTTCTTGGAGGGTACGTATCTATGACATAATACTAACTGTTTCATGAGTTGACATGCGGGTTTAGATAACACGGAAAAGAGTGGCTTTGTCGCTACTGCAGCCTAACAAGGACGAGATTTCTTACGGATAAGTACAAAGATTATAATCGTTTATATTCACAAAGATGATTCACTACTTAGAAAATAATAAAAACACGAATGTCTACAGGCTACAAGCACGTACGCCATGGTCAGTCAACGGTAAGAAAAAATCAAGCAACTGTTGGTGCTAAGTTGGTCCAGTCTAATAAATTGCGAAAAATAAATGTGTGCAAGTGAATTATGAGGGGCCCAAACTAGACCGATTAAATATATTGGGGACCAAAACAACAATTTTTCGGTCAAGAAACTTCACTCTTTGTCCAAGGACAAATTATGCATTACAACCAAATGATAACGTTTGGAAAAAAAAAAAAACAAATGACAACTTAGGAATTGACGGATAATTATTTACTTTGGAAAATGATACTCAAATCCTCTTTCAAGTTTAATGCATAATCATCTAAATTTTTTATTAGCATGAAAGACCCAAAGAAAAAAAAAGATAACTTTTCAGTATGACAATAGGATTGGCAGAAATAATTCTTAGTCCTTTGACACAATAAAAGAGTGAGAAGGGTTTAAAGGAACTAAAAATGGTGTGAAACCCTTAATTCCGAATGAAACAATCCTAGTGGCTTTTACTTTGAGCTGTGAGAAAGTTAGATAGGGTGAATCCTTCTCAACAGACCAAATCTCCTCTAGTTGTATTAAGAAAATAGTTTGTCATTTCAAATTATACTACTATGATAGTTTACCACAAGGTTTGTAAATTTTCACTTTCAGCTCTTGAAACATATATGAGCATAAAGACATCCAGAATTTGAAGAGAATTTCATTTTTCCTTTGAATAAATTTTATATACCCTGACATCTGACAGTGTATGCACTATCACAGTTGAATATACGACACATATGCAAAATTTGAGTTTCAAATTTAAATTCGGATTATGTGTCATACATTTAATGCTGAAAAGTATATACACTGTCAGTGTATAGAAGATTAATCTTTTTTCTTTATATCTATTAAATAGAAAAATACAAACTAATTTTCTTGATTAAAAAAAAAGCAGACGGAAAAAAGAAAAAAAAAGAAAGAGACTTGGTCAACATTCAACTATATTTTATGTAATCACAAGAAGAGGACAAGATTGAAGTTTCAAATGTTAGGGCAGCACTGAGGTCATTTTCTAGAAGATGGTAACATGATATGTTTAAAAGGAGAAAAACAAGAAAATTTAAAAAGATATAGTCTTGTAAAGACGTAATAGAAAATTCAAAGTAAAAGAATGATAGGTCTTAGCGTTGATTTTGCTACAGACTAATAATTGGAGTCTTTTTTTGCGCAAATAGTCTTCATATGGAAAATTCCATGTATGTGATCCCTTTCAATGTTTGCTTCTTGAAAAACCCACAAGCATTTGTCAAGAAAAAGCAAAGGATTTTGGTGGTACACAATTTTTCAGAGGTTGAAATTTGTCCAGTACAATGAACATAAGAGATTGAGGAGTTAGAAGCAATATTTTCACTGTTTGGCTTAAGTTGACCATTTCTTATGGCAATTTCTCGTTGTCTTGAAATGCATGCATCTAATGATCTAAATCAAAAGAATTGGTTTTTGTAGAATACGTAAAATAAAAAAAAACTCAGGAGTTCAGGGAAAAGCAGCATCCAATGTTTAGAAAAACACATGTTCCTGGAGGCTGGAGCTTCTACAAAATGAATGCATAGAAAAGTTACCACGTAGGTCTTTGTTTTTTCCTCAATCTTATGCTGAACTCCAGGAGGCTGCCTGTTTAATAATATAGGTAGCAGTATATGCCAAGTTTCCAAATTTATTTTAGATGGATTCCGTTTTTATTTAAAAGAAAAAAAACTGGAGTTTTATTTGCTCTATTCTGTCAAGTTAGAGTGCCAAGTATCAATTGCCACAATGAGTTTGCTAAATCTGTAGCTATGCTAAGAATTTGATCTTGGCCATTCGACATAGCATCAAACAGGATTTTTATTGAGATTTTTCTAATGAATATATCTAATGTAGGCAACATCATTTGAATGCATACATTAATAATTGTTATGTTCATCACATCTAAAGTGTTTTTCTATTTAAATTTAATTTTTTCTTGAAAATATTAGCACCTACAAGCTACAACCTCTCTCCATCAGTGTCTATTGGGTTTCAAAAGTTAGATAAACACTTTATATATATATATATATATATATATGGATTTTTCTAATGAGTGCCCTTAGGTCAGTCATTAACACAACTAGTATTCATTTGACCTATCATATATATATACACATACTAATAATTATTATCCTGTCTTGTATTTATATATACTCTTTTTATTTAATCTTATCTACTTTTTCTTGTTTATATTTACTTTTCTAATTATATATATATATATATATATATATATATATATGTATATATATAGTCATTTGAAAGTCAACTATAAGAGGAGTGATAACTTTCTCAAATTGGTCATCATGAGTGTAAAGTCTTTTTATCTTTATCACATTTTAATTGACTACTGAGGTATTCCACTATTGCAGCCGAGTCCACGTTGGGGCAGGTAGTTTTCTTGCACTGTAAACCATTAGTCCAGCTAGGGACAAGTTGCCAGATATTATTCTTGTTTCTTGGCATTTAAGGTGACAACTTTTTCCACAGGTCTGTGGTCTTTGATATTATTTCGAATTTTAGATGTTCCTCTTTGTAAAAGTCAATATTCTAAGCACACTGTTAAGACTTTTACCAAATTAAAAACGACAAATCAACTGCCTTTCTTCCTTTCCATATTTCATCAGCGCTTCTAGACTTTTGCATCATCATTGCAATCAAATAGGAATACATTACAACAGTAAATGACACACAAATTGCAACTAGTGCAATAATTGTATATATTTTTTTTCAAATTCCATACACTCTTACATATGCTCTTTTTTCCATATGGGGTAAATACATTTTAGTTCTTAATATTTAGCACTACACGGTTTCAGTCCTTAAAATTTTAGCAAGAAGAAATCTAGTCCCAATGTTTAGCACATCTGATGTTTTAGTCTCTAATGCTCTGACAACAATAAATCTGATCCCAAATGTATCTAATTTAAAACAATTTAAGGCATTTGAGAATTTTTTTCAACTACTGATAAATTTAGTCACGTATAGTCATGTGTCTGTTAGATTGAATTTTAGAAATAAATAACAAAATAGTGAAACCAGTCGAAGCACTCAGTTTATCGAACCAGAATTCTATTTTCACTCTCTATCCCACTGTTCCGCCAACATGAAACCCTAACATAATTTTTGCGTATAGTTAACAAATTTCTTTCATGTTTCTTGTTAATTAGTTACTAACATGCCATCACATGAGTTTTTTTTTTAATTGTACAAATTCAGCCATTGTTGCTTCTTTTAAAAAATAATTAAACAAATGCGTGACTGCACATGAGTAATTAAGTCAGTAATGGGAAAAATCCATCAATTGTTCTAAATTTGTTTGAAATTGAAAACATTAGGAACCAAATTTATTTTTACCAAGACTGTAGGGACTAAAATCGTATTAGGTGCCAAACACTAGGATCAAACTTTGTTTTGTTCAAACTTTAAGAACTAAATCCATACAAATACCAAATATTAGGGATTGAAACTACATTTCTCCCTTTCCATATACTAAGCCGCCATTTACAAACGAACTCCATGTATACAACAATGTTATACAAATTCAAATCAAATCATGTAACAAATATAAAAACAGCACAGTCACGTAATAACTCTAACCTTATCACTTTGAAGCACCTTTTCCTCATATTATAGTCCCAACATTGACGAACTTCATGACCAATAATGCAGTCTCGAATGGGGAAAGAAAGTCAAGCCGAAACCCTTTTCTACAGAGAATTTTATTCAACAATAACTAGCGTATTGACATTATAAATAGCGATCTAGATTTGAGTAATAGCTATCCACCTGACAACTTATTATGAGAACCACTAAAGTACACACATTCACACATTAGAGATATGGAGGAGTTCAAGTCTTCAAACAAGAATCACAAGGATGATGATGGTGTTGTTCTTCCAGGTTTTAGGTTTCACCCAACTGATGAAGAGCTTGTTGGATTTTATCTTCGACGAAAAGTAGAAAGAAAACCCTCCGGATAGAACTCATAAGTCAGGTTGATATCTACAAATGCGATCCATGGGACTTACCTCTGCCCAGTGAGTATAATTCTCCTCTTTTCCATAATTTCACTAATTATATAATCTTTCATGATGCATGGATTCATAACACTTTTATTGTGTCTATGATAAGTATTGAGCACCGAATAACCATAACAAGTATTAGTACGAAATGGATAACTTTTCTTTTTTTCAAAGAAATGGTTCCTGCAAACTGATACCAACAAGAAAGCATAAAGCAATTTGAAGCTGCTTTTAGTACATGACTGGTTCCTGCAAACTGATACCAACAAGATCAGGGTTTATGTTGACAAGTTGCTCGTTTATAAACTAGTAATTAGTGTTAATTACGTGTATAAGATAATTTTCAAGCCACACGAGAAAAGACTAATAGTATAGAATTAAGCAGGTTATTGTTGTGTTCACATGAAATTATATTATAGCTCCATAACTATTCTAACTAGCTTCACCACAGCCTAGCTTTAGCTATAGATCGATTTAAAAACCGTAGAAGAGTTATCATGTGTAGTGAGTAAATAATGACTAACAATAAGATTCATTCTATTGCTCATTGGCAATAGTGATTCATGGATAATAACGCTTGTCTCATAGACTTATTAGCTTATTGTCGCATTAAAAAGCTAAAACCAGAGGTCACTAATTGGATTAGTAATGCACTGACATGTGATTAAATCACATCTTATGGCCCAAAGATCAAAATCTTTTTTTTTTTTTTTTGTTAAAATGCATGTAATGTTGCTCCCTGCTTGAAAAACTACATTAACAGCAGGTAAACTTGTTCGACTAACGGCCAAGCTTTTGGAGGCTGCTCTTAAACAAAACATTTTAGTCCTACAATCGCAGTAGAAAGTGCTACGGTGCTTTAAGTTGACCAGGTTCAATTTGTTGAAGCAGTAGATCTCACAGCCAGGATACGTAGAGCAGAGTTGATTCTTTGCTTAGCTGAGTCAATGATCTACTTGAATCAAAGATGTTTTAGCCCATTTATATTGTTAAACCTTTTTGTTTACCACATAAATTACTTAGAAATGAGGATTTGCATTCAGCCATACTACACGTGTGAACAAGAATAAAAATCTGAAACTACACACACACTTATATATATATACATACACACACATACAAACATACATACATATATATATATACATACATATATATACACATGCATACATGCATACATATACACACACATACACACACATATATACACACACATACACACATACACATGATATATATATATTATATGTGTATGTCTGTGGTATAGATGTATATACCACCAACCAACTAATGATAAAAGGCATTCATACCACTTGCACCCAATTAGCTTAGTTATTACCATCATATTTAGTTTTATTTGGGTTATTACAATTGAAGAGAAAATGAAAATGCTTCCTATTTTCTTCACAAATTCTGGCTTTTCCTTACGACTAAGTGCTTTTGCACGTTCAACTCTTTGTTACTCACAGAGGTTGGCGTTGTCGGAACAAGGAATTTTTTTTTCTGCATGAGAGGAAGAAAGTATAGAAACAGTGTAAGACCAAATAGAGTTACTGGATCGTTTCTGGAAGGCGACTGGAATTGACAAACCCATATATTCTAGTGGGGAAACAACTCAATGCATCGGCCTCAAGAAATCCTTAGTCTATTATAGAGGAAGTGCTGGAAAAGGAACTAAAACTGATTGGATGATGCACGAGTTCCGGCTCCCACCGGTTGGACTCATTCAACTTCAACCCAACCTAATCCAAGGAATAATATTGCTCAGGAAACTGTAAGTTTGACTCGTTTCATCTTTGGCCTTGACTTTCTGCATCACTTTTACCCTCAATTTTCTGGTTCAGTAGGAAATTAATATTTCATGATCACCGGTGTAATACACCTTATGATGCAAAAATCGCACCAACACTGCCTAATGCCAATCTTACCTGCCCAAACCTTTTGTATTAACAATTGAAATACTGCTAAAAGAAAAAATTCTATTGGGTAGCTAGGGATTCTTCTTTACCTATATATGGATTGCATTGGATCCTAGAAAGATACATTGAAAAGAATCTGTTGGGTCTTCCAATATCAACAGGTTAGTCATCACATCATTTTCTGGCTTAGTGCTTCTTTAATTGCGATCATTGTCTTGGAATGGTTCAACACGATTATTTGCATTTTTGTGTCGGGTTTAAACATCAGGACTGTCCCACATGAATGTGATATTATTAAACTTTGAACAAGGTCGCTTGCACTTGCCTCAATCCATGAACCTCGCAGTCAATAATATTTGAAGTTTGGTGGAAATGTCTTCATTATTAGCCCAGTACACAAATGCAATAGCTAATTAGCTCCAAGTGTTCACTATTACATGTATATAAGAGATGTTTTTGGAGACAATACGTAAGATCTTAAAAGATAATTTGAAGTATTAAAGTAATTAAAATTTGATTTTATAGATCAACTAATCGAAAAGCAGGCTAAATTTTTTTTTAAGTAAATATTTTTCCAAGGCAAAAGTTAGGTGGAAGGGGATAATGGAATTTTTCTAAACTTCTAGAAGGTGCAGGGTTGGGGACTGTTTTTAGTTTTTATTTAGAGGGAGGGGTCAAAAGAGTGGTCCAAATACCAAAACTTGTGGAGGGCTGCCACTCGGCCCCCTTGTTGCCCCGCCCCTAAATAAGTGCTTATTTCTCCTTTTTTTGGATAAAGAAAATGTGGTAAGGACATTCAATTTACTACATAAGAGCTTGACTTTAAATCCATAAAAGGGAAAATGACTTGTTTATCACTTACTTACATTTTGGGGAAAATCCTTTCTTGTCCCTCGCTTTTAAAATGAAGTAAATTAGTTTCTCATAGTCTATAAAAACGAAGCTCTTTTGTCCTGAATGATAACTTAATACAAATTTTAGGGGTAAAATTAGAACATCAATTTAGTTCTTCAAATCTAGCTACACTTGGAATGCACATGAAATTAAGTTAAGATAAACACTAAAAAGTAAAAATTATAAATCAAAACAAACTCTTCTCTCAAAAAATTAAATTCTTTTGAGAAAGTGATATTAAGTCAACATAAAAAGGAAAATGTTAAAATTATAATATCGAAAACAAACCATTCTCGCTAAAAAGAAAAATTAAAATTATAACAAAAAAAACAAACCTTAGTCTTTAAAAAATTAAAAAATTTTTACTTCAAAAATTAAAAACTTTTGAGTTATAAAATTTTGTAACTTAAGGGTTTATTTTATATCTTATAATTTTTAATTTTTCCCTCTCTATGTTGACTAATTTCATTTTCTCAAAAAAAAAAAATTAACTTTTTTTTAGAGAGATGGGTTTGTTTAGGATAATATAGTTTTTTTTTCTTTTATGTTGAGTTTGGTTATATGCATAATAGGTGCAATCAGATTTGGAAGAACTAAAGTGATTTTACTGCTAAATTTATATAAAGTTATCATTCTGGACTAATTAGCTCCATTTTTAAAATACGAGGGTCTAATTTACTTCATTTTAAAAATGAAAAAAGAAAATTTTTTTTTGCTAAAATGTAAGAGATGAAATAGGTCATTTTTCCTTCATAAAATGCTTATAAGGACTGTGTCAAAACTTGCGAAGCTTGCACAATTTTGAAGCACGCTATGATCCATAAGCACTAGAATATAAAAAGGAAGGCAAATCTAAAACAGATAGATAATGGAGTGGTCCATTCATTTATTTGTTTTGTTAATTATCAAATATATATGCTTTGTCAAAAAAAAAAAAGAAAGGAAAAAAATGAGATTGGTGTGGTAAAATTGATAAGAGTCTTGATTATTGATAAGAGTCTTTAAAAATTAAAAAAAAAAATTTGAATTACCAAAAAATATAATATTTCTGCATTTTAAATTAATTTTCGGTTGTTCATTTTGTGTGGTAAAATTGAACGAATGTACTAACCTTGGATGCCGTTAACCTGTTCGTCATTTGTCTTGCCATTGGATGAACACCGAACTTAGAACTAATATGCTTAGACAAGACTTGATTAAACAATAACCTATGAAATTCTCTGTTAAAATCAAGTACATAGTTGGTCGTTAAACACCTCAAAATTCTTATTTCACCCACTAAATTATTTTATTCTAAACAGCTTACTTAACTCCTAAATATACTTCAATCTTCACCATTCCATTAACTCTAGCTGTTAAGATGCACGAAAGTTGGCCCACGTGGGAGGGCACCTATTCTGAATAGACAATTCTGTCATTTCAAATGCAATCATCAACCTTTTTAAGGCTTTAGCTCCTGATTTAGTTACCTATTTCTTATCAGGTATTTTCCTTTTAGAACCCACATTCTCTCCCTGCCCTAATTGTATCCTTGTAGTTTTTAATTTTTTTTTCTCGAATGACTATAAGTTAGGTTAGGGCAACTTGCATGGATTTTCTTTTTCTTTTCCTTTTTTTTTTTTCCTTTTGGGGATCTATGGAGGGAAACCCTTTAATACTTTTGGTACTTTTGTTTTATTCTGGCTATCAAGATTATGGGTCCGTTTGTTTCGGGTGAAAATGTTTTCCACGAAAATATTTTCCTAATTTCCCGTGTTTGGTTGCACAAAAGTTACTGAAAACATTTTCCTATGTAAAATATTTTCACTCATCTTATGGAAAACAACTTCCCTTCCAAACTTACTGAAGTTGTTTTCCGAAATGCATGCATCCCGCCTGTAGTATGTTCCAAACTTACTGAAAACATCTTGTAGTATGTTCTTTTTTTTTTAGTGTAAACAGGAGGACTCGAACCCAAGATCTCTTCCTTACACTCCCTCCCCCGTACCACCCAACCCAACCCAACCCTCCCCTCCCCTAGTATATTCAAAATAAAAAAAAAATCTCGTCCTGCTCATCCTATGCTAGTAATTAATTATGTATAATAGGGACATTCTTTTCTAGAGACACTTTCAGCAGTGAGAGTGCAAGATATACGGCACAATAAGCATTGCATGTGATTGATATTTGACACTAAATGGCCAGCAATTTGTTTATTTGCTCAAGGAGATATTTTTATTCATATATACATTTCTCCAAGATTTTTTAAAGTTAAACAATGAGATAAATTTTCTTATTTTGCATGGGAAGAAGTATGTAGTTATAATGTGTAGAAAGTAAAGATAGAGATAAAAGTGAAAATATTTCAAAAGTTAAACAAACACCAGAAAAATGAAGTAAGAAAATATTTTCAATAAGCTAACCAAACACCTGAAAATGATGAAAGGGAAATGATTTTCATGGAAAATTACTTCCACGGAAAATATTTTCCCAAGGAAAACATTTTACTTCCAACCAAACAGACCCTATATGGTTTTCTTTTTCACCCAATCTGTTGATTTATAAGATTCTTTGCACTTATGACGTTGAGGAATCAGGAAAAGAGCTCATTCTTTGGAACTAAATTTCATCCTGATCACTTAACATTGAGAATTTCACAGGTCTTAATGCGGAGAAGTATTACACTCCCTAAAATGTAGCTCATCAACATAAAGCGGCTAGTGACCTAAAGGGTTTCATGCACAATATCCAAATTGTCTATTCAAAATAGGTGTGGCTTTCACCTGAGCTAAACTTCCATCAATCTCAATAGCGAGAGTTAATGGAATTATCAAGATGCAGCATTTTTAGAAGTTTAGTGGGTAATTCGCATGAAAAAATGTTTAGTAGGTGAAATAAGAACCTTGAAGAATTTAGTGACTTACTACGCACTTCAGCCAATGAAATTTATAATTTCCTTTAGGTCTTCTACATGGAACTCCAGGTAGTCCTACCTCTTAGTAATAAACAAGGATAATTGTTCATATGCTTATGTAAAATACAATAGTAGAAATTTGAAGAGAGAAAAAGACTTTCCCTTGTACAATTTAGTTTGGATGATTGGAGAGAGCCATAGTTAAAAACAAATTGCAAAGATACAAAAGTAATTCAAGAAGATATCTTTGAGAAAGTCAAGATGCAGATTGTCCTCCGTCAAGAAAGTCAAGAAGACGGATGCTAATAGATGGCTGTAAAGAGTTTGGTTGTTACCAAAGAACATTTGTTCAATTTGAAATTTTTAGTATTAGTTGCTGCTATTTCTTTTGTAGTTGGTATACAAAGTATCTCAAACTGTTTTGAAATTAGTATCGATGTAAGTTGTGTACGTTAGAATTATTGATTTGAAACATATCTTGTACGTTATTTTGGTTCTGGGTACTAATAAATTCTTATTTACCCAAAAAAATTTGCAAAGACACAAAAGTTGGTTCTCCAATCTAAGTGTTACGTAAGTAAAATAGTTACAGTGACTAATACCTCTATTTTTTTATTTGATGTGGCACAAAAGAAAAAAAAATTCTAATTCGATTGTGTTTCCTTTATTTTTATTTTATTCCCTTTATCTTGTTGGCTGCTATCTTTGAAGTGTACTAATATTAGTTACTTTGACCAATACCTCTAATTTTCTTAATTTGATGTAGTGCAAAAAAAAAAAAAAATCTATTGGGATTGTATTTTTTGTTATCTTTAGCTTTTTTCTGTTTGGTTATTCCCTTTATCCTATTAGTTGCTAAGGATTAATCTTGTAGTAGTAATATATATATATATATATATATATATGTTAACAGGTGTAGATGCATATCACATGTACAAAGATTGAAGTTCAAATTCGAACTGAGATTAGATAGCATTTTATATCGGCCAGTATATACATTTTCAGTGTATACAAAATTAACTCTTATGCAAATCCTATACAATAGGAGATAGCAGGGATTGTAGTTAGCTCGCTGGGCATGAAATTTTGTTGGGACAGGTGGTCTGTAACTTCTCTAGTAATCTCAGATGCTTCCCATCTTAGAAGTGAAATTTCCAACTAAATTCTCATAATTGTCGCCTATACATATGCATATAAACCAGGAAATTAAAGGATGAAAGTGGAATCACAAACTTAATGTAAAAAAATGAAAAAGAAAAATGTAATTAGAGGCATTATCCATCTTAATCTTGGCTTTCCTTCAAGATCACATAATACATGAGGACTTTCAACTTGTTAACTTGCTGCATGCATGGTGAAGCCAAGTATAATTTGCCATTATATTAGTTATACTACACAACAACTAAAATGGTAGCTATGCTTTTGAACTTGTATAAATCTTCAGGATGATTGGACGCTTTGCCGAATCTTCAAAAGGAATGCATCGTCCAAAAGGTATAAACCAGACTTGAAACATGCCTGCATTAAAGGAGGCTCTGGGGCTGCAAGTTCAAAGCCATGCAGCTTACAATCTCAAAACAGTTGTCATCCCTACACAACCCTTGAAGATGTTGGTTTTCAACAAAGGACAAATGCAGCTGCAGGAATAGATGTTAATCACAGCAACCAGTTTTTGGCAGCGCAGGAGCAGATTTTATTGGTAGCTCAAACCTCCTACTCGTCATCCAGCTCCAACTTTTGGAATTTAAATGGTGATGAATTCTTCAGAGACGGACGATGGATGAACTGAGCCCTGTTGTTGACTCAGCTGCTGATATGAGTAACCCTCTGCTCATTATAGGTAAAAGTTATGATCTGCAGTCTGAATTGCCGAACTTTTTAAGACTAATTCCACTTTGCACTCCAAACTTGTACCAGTTTTTCACTTTACATCCTAAATTTCAATTTTGAATACTTTGCAGGTTAAACTCTCAATTTTAGACAATTTACACCTTAAACTTTTAAATTTGTCTCATTTAAGTCCAATCAATAACAGCATTATCAAAATTAATAAGATAAATGGTGGTGCGAATTAATGACAAAGTAATATGTTGTTCTACTGATTGTGATACTTTGACTCCTTTGACAGTTCTTAGTACATTATTACTGATATATATGGTCCGAATAACTAATATCATTAGCAAAATTAATAAGATAAAAGATGGTATAAATTAATGACAACGTATCCTTTTTATTCTAACTACTATACCTTGACTCCCTTTCACTACTTTTAGCAAAATTATCATTGATTACCGGGGTTCTCTATGTGTTAGTTTTCAGTAATGCTGTTATTGGTTGGACTTAAATGTGACAACTTGAGAAATTACAGTGTAAAGTGTCCAAAATTGAAGTTTAAGATACAAAGTGAATAATACAAATTTAGACATGCAAAGTGGAATTAATTAGTCCAGCTTTTTACTAGGGTAGTCTGGACAATGATGTCGCCAGTGATTAAGATATGAAAGGTTCAATATATTGTAAAGCTAGCTAGATAAATATTCTGGCAGTATTTGGAGATTATGTTGCATCAGTTGATATTTGAATCGGATTGGGTTTCAGGGTAGTCTGTACAATGATGTCGCTAGTGATTAAGATATGAAAGGTTCAATCTATTGTAAAGCTAGCCAGTTAAATATTCTGGTTGTATTTGGAGATTATGTTGCATCAGTTGATATTTGAATCGGATTGGGTTTCAGAATCATTTTTCTAGTGTTAAAGGGCAAAGAAGGCAGTTTTTACATTTCTTTTGTTTTTTAATCTTCTATATTCTTTAAATAGAAGTCTAAAAACTGATGAGCACAAATATAGTGAACTTGATCATTTTCCCATCATTTTATGATTAGGTTCAAAACTGGAATTGTCACAAAATCACAAAATGGCCGTCGTTTGTATATCATCAAACCTAGACCAAAATGCCAGCATCTCTTATCTTTTATTCACATGGAAATTGAAAAAATATCCCTCATTTGTTTTCTTTCTTGCCTCATCAAGCCTACACCAAGACACGGCTCTCTTTGATCTTTTATTTAAGTGGAAATTGGAGATTATCCTTCATTCATTACAAAAAGCTCCAACTCTCAAGTCATTCCAATAAATAACATTAAGTAGCTAATTGCATCACTTTTATAATTAATTATGTATTGTAATTTTGAAACTCCATAAATTGGACACGGATAATACCAAATTCCAACTTGTTGGAACCTGATTCCTTAGCTTTCCTCCTATGCCCATTTAGGAAATAAGACAGCCTTTTTCTTTTTATTCAGAAGGTGTTCCAAAATATGGACATTTATCAGTTCCACATCTTTCCTAGGTAGAGCTCGATTTATTTTGAAATCCAATATTCCAAAAGTTCAATTAAAAGCTTATTCTTAGCTATTCATTGATTAGTACGAATAGACAAGTTTAACTTTTCATTCATTGTCACACCCCAAAAATTAAAACATCAGCACGTCCTGTACATGCATGGTTTCCTTCCAATTACAAGGCATGTTCAATCTAAAGTATGCATGTGAGACATATGTTGAGAAAATATAAAACTACTAAAAAGAAACCACTTCAAAGCCTACTTTATTACATAATCTATTCATGAGAACAAAACCAGAATGTCTAATCAACAACATTTGTCTACATACTAATTGACCAATCACTCTTCAAGTATCTCTTAGTCTACCATCAATTTTATCCTATTTCTTCTTCATCTAAACAAGAGCATCTATACACGGTATGAGTAACCAAATCACTAGCCAATATCTAATACGTCTTTCTCTCAGACTAAGAATATTACATACATACAGCTTTACTAAACTAATTTCACATGAAAATGCAAATTACTCAAATTATTGATAAGTGCACTTCAAATACATGGATAAATCATAAGCCACATAAGTTTTTGATAGACACATCAAATCATACACTTGTGACCAATGAATTTTCAAATTGTTAATCAGAGGTGGGTCTCTATTTGTCCCTTTTACTTTATTCTCACTTGTGCAATGATGGTGGTTGTTCGTGAAGAAATTTTTTAGGTAACTTTGAAATTTTCATAAGAATTTTTGCAAACTTTTGTGTTGATTAACAAATTCCTCTACTACCTAACTAATCTTCTGCTTATATCTATTTTTCACATCTCAGTCTAACTATTCGAAATATATTTAAAAGATTTCTGATTAATATTTTAAAGGTATCGTGCAGCACATAGAAAATTCTACTAGTTATTCAAGCAAGATGTATGACTACATAATAAGCAATAATACATACATTTGTCCATAAAAAGTTTACGATGATTATTTTAATTTGTAACTGATTAAAAGATATAAAAATGCAAGATGTATTATTGAAAATTGCACTCGAGAAAAGTGCCATCAAACTCATGTATATCTAATAAAATGTCATAATTAATTCTTAAAAATATGTAAATGAAGCTAGCTATTTTGTTAGCAAATTACAAGAAATATTGCACAAACATAAATTGAATCACACGCATATATATACTTAGGTATTGTAGGGTGCTTATAAATTTTCTTTCTAGTTCACTCCACCATGTTCTATCATGGTTCAGTGTTACTTATCTTCATTTTTCACATGTCTCTAACATTTAAATATTATACTTATAGAAATTTTGGATTTTTTTTTAGAAGTATCGTGCAATACATGGGAAAATTTCAAACACATTTGAACAATATAAAAGACTAGATAATGTGTAGTACTAGTACATGCATATTCTAGCTTAGAAAATTTTTCACGTGTACCTCAAAAATTTATTGTCTTGTTAATTGAAATAATTATATATTTTGAATAAAAATAAATGAGCATCGAATAAACTTATAATTTGATATAATGACGCTATTTATTAACCACCCATCAACCTGAAGTTACTATAGTGATATACTAATAAGTTTTGTGATTTTGTATCTACTTATAGTTAAGAAATGTCTATGCGTGTACGTAGAAAAACTTGTGTAACTTTTAATAGCAAAAAATGAACATGTACTAGCTGGCCAAGAGTGATTGTCTTTCGAACGATATTTCTTGCATTAAAGGTTGGATGTATACATGACTACATTTAAAATTTACCTAAAAAACTATCAAATAGAACTTGAAGTAGATGTGGTGAAAAAAGGTCTAGGCAGCCAATACAAAATATCTTTTGAATATGTTCTAGCATAAAAGGTTAATAGTATAATTGGATGTAGATTTGAGTACATTATCTATTTTATTGTGTTTTTGGTTGTGTGTGTTATTTTAGCTCATATTTGTTGTATACAAATCACCTCATAGAAATACTTTTGATGGTGTGAAATTAATTTGTATGCATAGATATTTACAACTATCCATAGCACTTAATTATTTTAATTTACAACAACTAAAATGTGCATATTTAAAGGCAAATTTCCTTCTAGAATGTATTAGTTTCTTCTTTTTTTTTGGTAATCTAGGCAATGCCTATGAGAAGCAAAAGATTTGCGAAAATCTTAGTCTAAATTTGAAATAAAAAATGAACATTGTGGTTCATCACTAAAAAAAGTGATCATATGAGCAATTGTGTCAGTTCAACTGTAATTATTCCCCCTCTATGTGTTTCTTAACTCGTTATTCTCATTAGACTACCTGTTTTGTTTAATTTCTATAAGCTGTAGTTCTTTTGCTAAGCACCAATTTAAAAATATGCTTACAAATGTCAACAAGACATACATTTTTTTTAGTAATTTATAGACAAAAATCGTAAGATTGAAAGGTTTAACAATTAGTAAATTAGAGTTGAGTATCTCTCTTTTTTCTAATATCCTCTACTACAAGTGTGCCATCAATGATAGTCGATCTAAGGTACTTTTAAAGAGAATTTTGTTTGCTCTTTCTTAATATAAACAATTAAATTTGGTTGTTCAAGTATATGGAAACAAAGATAAATTCTTTATGTTTTATTTAATACCTAATGTTTTACTCATAATAAAAAGTAAGACTACTTACAAATAGAGAAGTCTCAAAACTAAGCAAAAGCCAAAACTATATACTAAGGAAAGTAAATAATGTATAGAGTTAAATAACTAACTAATCTCAAAATTTTTTTTATCTATATTCCATGCAACACTTAGTTGTCAATTCTCATTACTGTGTTCCACTCTCTTCGAGTAGTCAAACAACTCTATAACATCATTCATGATACTGCACAATAACACTCCAACAAGTTTGCATTTATTTACAAAAATCCTGTTAGGATCCAAGCGCGGAATATACAACTATTGAGATATCAAGTACACAATAATTTAATGGTAAAAAAGGTACAAGCATGAAAGATAGACGAACATAATATTTAACGTGGTTCGGCTGCACCATTGAGCTTACATCCACAGAGAGAAACTCATTCTTTATTATAAGAGAAAATCCTATACAAGAATACAACTTGAATCCAAGCCTAATACTTGTATACCATCTTTCATCTCCCAAGAACTCTCTCTCACATCCCATGTATAAGGCTACATGATGCCCTTGTGTCTCCTTGTGTGTTTCTTGTATAGTATGCCAACCCATCTATTTATAGAGAATATTATTTGGCCAAAACCCAAATAACAATAGGAAACCAATTCTAATTCCAAGACTTGTACAGAATAGGAAATAACTTCTAATCCTAAACTAAATAGAATATTTTTTGGCTACTACTTCAAGTAACTAAAACCAATTAGGAAACTAGTTACTTCCATAAAAAACAAGAATTCTAACTAAAATAAATTAAGCCAATTTCCTAACAAATCTCCACCTTGGCGAAAATTTCTTTTAGCAACTATTTGCCTTCAACTACCAAATAATATGGTACCAAACTACACACCCGAATCAATACAGTTCTGACACTAAATTGATTCAATGGCAAACGAACATGTATAGTTGCCCTATGTCTAACCTCCTATTGACTCGCGAGAAGGTGCCTCAATTCACCGTCTCCTCTTTGCAGGATTTTTTCTCACCACCACTTGCAACACGGGATCCCCTTTTGTGAGTTCTAACCCTAACCATTGAGGTAACCAAGTGGTAAAAGCACCATACTTCTTCCCATGCTCAGGACTGTTTCGCCACGTGTGGTTTCCAAGACTCCACCTAAAACGAAATACTCGTAACTGTCAGAATCTTCTGGTGCATGGAAATTAAATCTCTTTGTTTCTTTGGGACACGTGCCACACCACCCAAAAAACATAACCAAGATCTAAAAGCCATCGGATGAAATATCAACTGTTGGAGATGTGAGAAAGTCTCCACCGATTCACGTCCAAAATCAACATTGGACTCCACTTTTTCCTTGACCTTTGAATCACCTGCCTAGATTCACCGTCAAGCATCTCCATGCTTTTCGACTTCCCATCGTTCACCATCAATATTTTTTGCCAAGCCATTGAAACAAGGATACCACTTATTCAATTGTTCAATTAGTAACAGCTACAATCCATTTGATCTCAATAATTAACTAGGATCCAATCACGAACTTTGCTCTATTGCCCAGTCTTGTAACTTGAAACTCTGATACCACTTGTTAGGATCCAAGCGTGGAATATACAACTATTGAAATATTAAGTACACAATAATTTAATGGTAAATACGATACAAACATGAAAGATAGATGACACACAATATTTAACGTGGTTCGGCTCCACCATTGAGCCTACAACCATGGAGAGAAACTCGTTCATTATTATGAGAGGAAAACCCTAT